AGCTTTACCTGCTGCACATACTTAGGAAAGTTGTGTCTCTTGGGATTTAAGACTTCCAGATTACCAACTGGTCTAGCCATGCATGAGCTCAAAACTGTTCCTTGTGGACAGAAATGTTGTAACTTAAGAAAGTATCATTAACAAAGAACTCAAACTGTTCAACTGACAAAAATCAAAGTGCAAACACCTTAAACAAGCATGTGGAGGTTATAACCACTGCTCCACCTTATGTGATGATTGCTAGAACACCGAGCATGAGCACAGGTATAGAAGGGGGGTGGGCTGCCCAGTCAATCAAAAATGGCAGGTGGCTTTAGAATATAATTAATACTGGGCAGTGAAGAATCACAGAATGCAAGCACCACAGGCATCCATAAGATCTAAAAAAGACTTTTAGAAGAGTACAGACAATTTTACTAACTCCCTATACCAACAGAAGACTCAAAAGAGCCATGCATCATGCAGCTTTAACGAAAATTATAAAATTAAATGTGGCTGTCAACAGACCAAAGTTGTCTAGCTTGTTCTTAGAAAGTAAGGATTGAAAATCTCCTAAATGATGACTAAAGGCACCTTTCTCTGCAGCAGATGCTGAAAGTCATCCTGAATGAGTCCTTGATCCTCCTGAAGCTCGGCCTGTTTCACTAATACTTACCGAGTACTTTCAAACTTGTGCTTAAGTGTGCTTAAGTATAAGTACCAAACTACTCGTCCCAAGCCTGTAAATGACTACTATGTAATCAATTCTCAGTTCCAGTGGTCTATTAAAGACAGCATTTTTTGAATTATTTAGAATAATTGGGGCGAGCCTGAGCGAGCCCCACATAAATGACAAGTATGTTTGTTTGTCTGTCTGTTTGTACACGTATGTCACCCCTGTTTATGTGGAATACGGTAGATGCTATGCATTAAAAAGGGTGTATAAATTCAGTTTTCAATATTTCATTAAAAGTGGGAGTGGCTACAATGAAATAAAATGGCAACCAATACATGGGGAAATGTCATGAGTTTTCTAGCAGCAAAATAAGACAGAAATTCTGTCCAAAGGCTTCTCCAACATCCAGGCAAGGTTATAGATGCAATAAAGTAACTATGAAACTTGTTTTTGCTGGTACAGCAGAGATCAGGACCAAGTTAACTTTAATATGCAATTACATACCGTAACATACCTGTAGCTATTAAGCATGTATGTATAGTAGCATTTACTGTATATGTAATACTTGAACATTTAACGTTAGTTTAACGTATCATGTTATAATGTTACTGTATAAACATCTCGTATTAAGTATACACAAAAACCTGAACTTCAAACCATACTAGTAACAGTACCGTTTTGTAAGCGTTTAAATAATGTAAGTGTATTAACTTGGCCTTGAGCTCTGCTGTTAACTTGACTTACTGTACTTGCATGCTACTGTCCAAATGCTGCAAGGAATGTCAAGAAAGCAGATATGCCATCTTGATTGATGGGAATGACTTTGAATGTCTGTCACAGCCTGAACTAACTTGGACTACATTGCTACTGTTGCCTATCTAGCCATATCATTTGTGCAGTGACTGTTTCTAGCTATCTTTAATGCTTTCCAAATGCTAAACTTGATTTGATTACAAAGGTAGGTCAAGAACTACACTGCGCTCAATCAAGTTCTGAGCTGCTTAAGTTGCACTGTCATGAGTATTGTTAGTCTGTCAATATCTATTGTATGTACATTGCTTTACTTGCTTAGGCTCGCCCCTTCAATGTTTTACATTCATCTAGTTGGGGTGAGCCTGAGCGAGCCCCACATAAATGAAACAAGCATGTATGTATGTCTGTTTGTTTGTACATGTACGTCACCCCTATTTATCCGTATAAAAAATTTTCCACTTTTTAATGAACTTGATAATCTTTCATTAAAAATGGGTGTGGTCATAGTGAAATAAAATGTCGGCTCAGTATTGTAACTGGAAATTCTTGCAAGACTGATTCGACTGTAGTGTACTGCTGTCCAAATGTAGCAAGGATGGTTAAGAAAGCAGACATGCCATGTTCTTCATTGATGTAAATAACTCTGATGAAGTGAATGTCAGTCACAGCTTGAGCCTGAAGTTGAACTAACTTCATGAGCTGGAGCATGCAAGAAGCCAGAAACTGCATTGCTACAGATGCCTATCTAGCTTTATCATTTGTGCACTGACTGCTTATAGCTAACTTTAATGCTTGCTAAATGCTATAAGCAAGGTAGCTTTAATTGTTGTAGAGAATTAAAGGTAGATTATCATCAAGAACTACATCCATAATTCCATGAGCATGATGAGCTCTTTTTTTTTAGCCTGCTTAGTTGTACCACTCTAATATCTGTTGCATAATCATGCTTGAGTATTGTATGTTAGTCTGTCAAGATCTATTGTATGTACATTGCTTTGATTCCTCAGGCTCGCCCCTTCAATGTTTTACATTCATCTAGTTATCAACTCTTGTTAATAGTTTGTGCCATTTATGACTACTAACGAATACTATTATACTCACTATGAATAACATTAATAATCAATCAAAAGTTTTGTGAAGGGTGTGTAGCGAAGTTCTGAAAGACAAGGTATACCTTTAGTCACATCACTACTGAGGTGTAAAGATTCCTTCTGTTTGGAAGTAAAAACAGGCTTTTTGCTACTGATGTACTACAGAGGTGGAAATACTGTTAGTCAATTTGGCAGCTAATGGAGATTCAAAGCTGTTAAGAGCTATATGTGTAATGTCAGGTAACAATGATCTTTCAAATCTCAATAATTTCTTCACACATTGCAGACTATTTATAGTGGTTTACCATTTTGTATACTCTTGTTTTTAAGTTAGGCTAAAGCCTTCAATATTTCTACCTATGTGAGATTATTATTGCCATCAGTGGTCACCTTTGCACTTTTTAAAAATAATATTGAAACAACAGTAAAAAGTGTTCACAATTGATTTCACAACCTTGCAAGCAGAGCTGGATTCTTATTAAGAATTATAGAGGCTTTCTCTACCTTGTAATGCTTCTAGTTGTCTTTAAACAGTAGTCTTGTCCCTGCCCATTTGCTTTACAAGGAAGGGTTTAAAGACACTTGAAGCTTTTCTTGGACACAATGAAATGTAATTAGTGCAGCTTGATCATTTGACCGAATTCACCCACGTGTTAATTTCATGCAATGGACACGCCCCCAGAACATGGCTACCAGGAGCATTAAGAAGAAATCATAGCTAAAACTCATTTCAAATCAGTTTTTATCATTAATTTGTTTTGTTTTTCTTCATTCTTCTTCTACTTATTAAAATGCATTTTGTTATCAGATCAAAACAGTATGTTTAATAATGCAAAATTGAATAAAATTGTATGATTATGTAATGAATGATAGTAATAAAAATGCTGTAAAAGCCATGGCTGTTACAGACATCATTTGCAGATGAGGTAGAAGTACTTTCCCAATTTCCATAAAAGTATTTCCTCCTTTAACACTGCACATAATTATTAGATAACAATCATAAGTGAACTGACCATTTCTTAACTTGTTGCTCATCAATAGGTAAACTCACTAGCTTTAGTGATTGAAAAGGCGACCAAGGAAGAGTTTTTCTGTTCCAGAACTGATTTTCCAGAGAACATAACACAGTACTGAGCCACAGTAGTGATTGACATTTGTTTGCCACTGAATCCTGTCAGCAGGCACAAGAAACTATCCTATAATCATTGACAACAGGCTTTGTGATGCACATTTCTGTTTTTTCTTGACTTCTCATTGAACCTCAGACCCTGTAACAACTCATGAAGCTCCTTCAAATTCTAACCTATCTTCTAGAGGCCATCTTATTAAAATTATATCATGTGATATTAATAAGTTTGTGGTTGTGCCACGTGTTTGGAGCGATCTGATTGGTGCGCCTACATTCCAGTGCAAAGTCTAAGAAATACTTTGAGTGTCTCCAGACCGTTTCTCCTAAAGCAAAGGGGTGGGGACGAGACTATTTAAACAGTATTTTTATGTTCTCTTGCTGTTAGAAACCTCTTTACTTTGTCACATGTTTAAGGTGCCATTTTATTTGCTGTAGCTATACCCACTACGTAAAGGAGCGTGGGCGGGTGGTTGCATTACACTCATAAAAAACTAATACAGTTGGTATCAGGAAATTGTTAGTGGTTCAGTAAACAGCTATCTTGACAAAAGTTCTTTCCCAAAAAAGAATAAGTAATATATGATATGCTGTTTTTTCTTCCTTCCTGGAGGGAATAGATTGCCAAAAATCAAGCATTTACAATGATAGATAACTTTAATGTATCAAATTGCATACATGCATAGCTGTTTTGGTCTGTGTCATTTTCATGAGGGATGTTTAGAAAGCATCAGATTGCTTCAGCATTTTTCAGATGTAAATTCATAATTATACCAATATTTTAATCTAGTTTATTTAAGATGGCTCAAAATTAGGGTCTAGCTAAGTTCTTCATAACTTAGTTTTTTTGTAGTTTAGCCTGAAAAGCACTATAGAATACACTTTTAAACTAGTGAAACGCAATCATTTGACTTAAACCAACTCCTCAAGCTATAAAAGTTTGAACTAAAAATTGTTAGGGGTCCTGACCGTCCTCTGCAAGAATCAGACCTGCCTAACTATTAAATGTTCATTGTTTAATGTGGCCTCAGTGTGATATGCCCATATTATAACTAGACAGTTTAGTTCCTTAGCCTTACCTTGTTATACATGTATGTAATATTTACTTGTAACTACGTGTACATATAGTAATAATGTTTAAAATAAAGTTTTGATAAAGATTTAGTTCTCAATAGCTGGAAATTTTAAAGGGTTAAAATTATGTAAATATTTGATGATTGGAGATTTTAATTAGGGAAATTTATGGCCATGTGCCTTTAGCATGCACATAATTACATGTAGTTGAAAATGATGTGTTTAATTTGGTAATTGCCCCCATTCAAAATTTGTAGCAAGACAACAATTGTATTTAAAACATGTTCTCTGTTTTTTTTAGATTCCTGCTACGTGCTGTCTTTCTCTGTAATAATGCTCAATACAAGCTTGCATAATCCTAATGTTAGGGAAAAGGTAAAATATTTTTTTGCAAATTTATTTGATTTGTGACTTTAGCCAACGATTGATCATTTTATATCTATGAATAGAGGAATTAATGATGGAAGTGATTTTCCAACTGAAATGCTAAAGGTAAATTATTATTCTGTACAGTTTGTTTTACTTGTCCATGTTGATGTAAGGTAAATTTGTAAAAAAGAATTATCACAACAATGTGCATTTGGCGATAAGGATGAATCTGTCAAACATTGACCTTCACATTAGAATTTAGGCACCTGTGGTTTTTGTAATTTGTACCGTCAATTTCCATACTAATTCTTGTATAGAGCTATGTGAGGCTTGTGTCCCATAACTCTATTATACTTAGAGCACTCCAGTACTAGGAAGTACTGTGAGTTTAACTTTGACACTTTGAAAGTCAGAAGCAACTTCAAAAGGAAGTTCTAAAAGACCTTTCAAACCCACATTAACCTTACATGCCTTAAGCAAGGAAGGACGCAGATGCAAATTTGGGCTTGCCACTTGCTTTATAAACTCATAATTCTAATAGTCAGTATTAGTTGGGGTGGTGGTGGCCACCACCCCTTATAACTTTTTTGTTCCTATAATGGTAGCAACTTGAAGTTTGTTTTAGCTTTCATCTGAAAATTTCAACCAATTTTTGAGTTTCTAGGTACTCTGGAAGGTTTTAAACTGGTTTTTCTGCCTAAGATGAAAGGGAGCCGCCATGGCAAATGGTGTCCGTCACTCCAATGAATATCATTTGCATTCATTACATTTAGTCAAAAATAATGTTTTTTATTAGAAAAAACAAAACAAAGCATATCAAGCTCTCTAGACCTACCAATATTCAACTGGGAGCCTTTCTTGAGGACAAATGTGCTATGTCACTCCACAGTCCTCTCAATCTTCATTGTTCTTCCTTGCCCATACACTTGTTAAGTCATCCATATTCCAAGCTTCATTCCTAGTGGCGTAGGCAGGGAGGCAAGACAAGTGTGGCATTTTGGTGTGCAAAAGGCGCCAAAAAATTTTGCCAAAAATGGGCGGTGACAAAGTGGGTGTGGCCAGTAGTTATTACTATTTATTAACAAATTTATTAACATTATAAATGGATTATAATCATAATTGTCGAGATTTTGACGTGGTAAAACAATCAACAATCGTTTTAAGTCTAGGAAATCAGTTATTTCATGTTCAATACTAAGCACAAGCAGTAAGGAAAGTCTAGACTCAGCCATAGTCGATCTTAAACTATTCTTTACAATTTTTAGCTTAGAAAAGGAATGCTCTACGGAACATGTTATGACAGGTAATGTCATACAGAGCTTGTATAGTATCATCACGTTTGGATATGTAACATTCAAACTTCGTTGGTACAATAGCTGTAGTATTTCGCTGATGGAAGTGTAATTTCTTATCTCTTGGTGATGTCGAAACACATCAAATTCTGCTCTTAAAGCTACAGCAGCAACATCATTCTCATAAAAATGTAATAAATCTTCCATTTTACATAATCCTTCACTTTCATTTAGTGGACTTGGATGTAAACTAGAAAATCCTTTTAAAAGTGTAATAGTCTCGGTGTTAAACCTTCTCTGCAAAGAATTGATCATTAGATCAATGGTACCATAATAAAAATCAATAAGATACTTCCTTTTGCCAGACATGTGATGGTGGTGTGTTTCGGGTCTGTCATCCAATCTTTGAGAGATTCTACTTTTTGGTGTAGGTACTTCTTGATTGTCAAATCCTAAGGTTTGACTCTTTTCCTGTGCTTTAGTATAGTAGACATCAAACGAATTTTCACTCCTCTTACTTTTTAAGACTGTAAGTAGTGATTCTTGCATTTGGATAGCAGAAACAAAATCCATATCATCACGTTGAAGATAATCAGACAGACCTTTTGTGTATGTCAAAAGGTCAAGAAGAACAGTCAAGCAAAGGATAAATTCAAATGCACACACCTTCCTTAGTAAGCCATTGGCTTCAGATTTTATGACTATCATGATCCAACTCAACTACTTTTTCAAGTGTTGCAATAATGGCGGGAAGAGTACTATTAATGGCATTGAGACTATTTATTCGACATGCCCAGCGTGTGTCAGAAAGGCTTTTTAATGTTACAGTTTGTTTTAAAGAGCATTACTCAGTTTTCTGCATGTCAATAAATATGGTATGCCGTTTGGTATTGCCATTAATAAAAGTGTAAACAGACTGTATATCCCCAAAAAAATTGCATGTAAAATTATTCTTATTGCAGCTCTCCACTAATACAAGATTAAGAATATGGGCATGACAGTGCATGTATATCGCTTTACTGTTTTCCTTACAAATCATAGCTTGTACTCCAGCATAGTGGCCACTCATATTTGCTGCTCCATTGTAGCCTTGTCCTCGAAGGTCTTTGAGAGAAAGACCATACTTCTGAAAGGTTTCTTTAGTGGCCAATGTGAGTGTTTTGTGGTCTGTTTGCTTCACTGATGTGACGGCAATAAAGTGCTCAACGATTGCACCAAAGCTATTAACATAGCGAAGAATAAACGAAACTTGTTCTTCCCTTGATACATCTGATGTTTCATCTAGTAAGAGTGTGAAATATTTTGCCTGCTCTACTTGTGTAACAATTTTATCAACAACAGCATTAGCTAGCAGGGAAATAAACTCATTCTGAATTTCAGGTGATAAATAATGGCAATTCTTCTTAGAATTCTCTAAATGTTCCTTTATAACAAAGTCATACTTTGCCTGGTGGTGGACAATTGCAAGGAAATTCCCACGATTGCAAATAGATTCTGATTCTTGATGACCTGGAAATGAAAGGTTATCTATTGAAAGTAAGATGATTATTTCAAGTATTCGATGAACCACTTTTCTATTGAAATCTATTTCCTGCTGTCGTCGAGATAGCTCAGATATTCTCTGGTCATTTAGCAAATAATCAACAGGTGTCTGTTCCAAGTAGCATTTCCATGACTTCATACTATGTACATGAAAAGAGGTGGTGCTGTGCTTCTTAATTGCTCTTGTAGCATTTTTCCAATTGGTACCTTGTACACCATTCACAATCCATCCCATTTTATTAACATCATTTTGAGTGGCAAAATTATGACACGAGAAACAAAACATTGCATCAGCTCTAAGTGAATACTCTAGCCATTCCTTACAAACTGCTAAGCTAAACCATTTTGATTGGAAGCATCTTTTCTTTCCCCCACTACCACTTTTAGGGTAAGTCATGCTAGTAGGATGGCATGGCCCAAGTGTTATTAATTGATGCTTTTCCTCTCTTGAAAGAAGTGTTACCTTGTCTGCAGGGTCATAGCACACCATTCCATTGTTAGATGGGCCTGCTGTCAGACTGGATATTGTGGATAACTTAGCCTCACTGAGCTGTGACGCGGATGATGATGCGCCGCAGGATAACAGGGTAGAAGACTGAGAAGAGTCAGCAGATGATTCAACTGGATCAATGGTGCACTACTGTGACTTTGACTGTTGTCACCTTCACAGGCTCCACTGTTAGAACTTAGAATCAGGTGAAAACTGAAAAGAAACCAAGAATAGACCTCTGCAATGCCATGCTTTAGCTTAATGATGTAGGTGCGGCCAGAGTTCATACTAGGGTGTAGCCTGGGCCACCCCATGGCTACGCCTATGTCCATACCAACAAAAAAGTAAAGAAAGGATACATGGAGATACCTGTAGTGGCAACCACTGTAAAGGTACAATAGATAATAAAGTAAGTTAATGGAAAAGAAATGCTCGAAGAATGACAAAGATTGCACTCGGCAGCCATACTTGGGTGGGGCTACACGTGACATTTTAATAAAGAAAACGTAGATTTACATTTGTGCTTCTGTTTCTCTCTACTAAAACCAACTAGAGTAGACACCCTAATTATGAGACACTTAAGAAATAATTTTTATACAAATACAGGAATGGTTTTTGTGAAAATTTATAAGTACCATTTGAGATTACTATACTCCAGTTTTAAATATTGCAAAAAATTTTGCAGATGTATCCTTAAACGAGCATGTGCAGAATATAACCACTGCTCCACCTTATGTGATGATTGCTACAGCACTGAGCATGAACACGGGTATAAAAGGGGAGTGGGCTGTCTAGTCAATTAGAAATGGTGGGTGGCTTTAGAATGTAATAAAATTGGGCTGTGAAGAATCACAGAATGCAAGCACCACAGCCATCCACAAGGTCTAAAAAAGAATCTTAGAAGAGTACAGACAGTTTTACTAACTCCCTATACCAGCAGAAGACTGAGAAGAGCCATGCATCATGCAGCTTCAACTAAATTATAAAATTAAACATGGCTGTCAACAGACCAAAGCTATCTACCTTGTTCTTAGATAGCAAGGATTAAAAATCTTCTAAATGATGACTAAAGGCACCTTTCACTGCCACAGACGCAATTTCGATGTTGAAAGTCATCCTGAATGAGTCCTTGATTGTCCTGAAGCTCGGCCTGTTTCATTATTACTCGCTATAGACCCCCTGCAGTAGGCATGGTCAATGTGTGTGGGCGTTTCCTATCAGCCATGGTGGTGTACATTTTTTACATGGAATGACTGCAAGTAACAGAGCTATTTGTCATGATTACTTTTTTTCCCAGAAAAATGATGATGCCAGGAAGCGATACCAAGTAAAACTCTCTAGTATTAATGGATTGCATCCTTATGAAACCTTGAGAAGTGATTGGCTAGGTGATATTGGCCTCAGTATATAGTGTCCATATAATATTGCTATGTAGCTACACTGGTGATGAGCTTCTTAACTACAAGAGCATGGATTGTTACTGAAATTTTTTGGCTGGATAGGTAAGGGAAATTTATCTTGTTAAAGCAGCAATACAAAACAAATGACAAGTTTAGAATCATCATTTCTAAGGCGAGTGCTAGAGTAACATTGTCAAGTTATGTTAGACCATTCTATGAGAATGAGTGATAAGCCATTGATCCCTTGGATCATTGCAGATAAAATGGAAAGATTGTTGCAGGTCATTGTGACTGCATGGCAGGCCTTACCAGAGCTAGTTCGCTCACATACATGTATACATGTACCTCTCTTTTCAGTGTGCAATGACTGTAACACAAAAGAAAGCTTATTGGGTAATTTTAATGCAGTTCAAGATGTGCCATGTACCACAGTTAATAACATGATTATTCCTGGGAAGAAAAAGAGTCATAGCATTCTCTCTTCTTGCTCCTCATCATCACGATCATCATATCACCATCACCATTGCCATGGCATTTGCATATAATTCAACATCAATGACAAATCTTATTTTCCCACAATCCACATCTTCACAACAGTCCTCAAGTGAGCAAGGAACTCAAATTTATACTGAATCACAATAGTTGCTCATCATCAACATCTGGCTCGATTCAAGATTCTGCTGTTGCATTGAGTCCCCCACAGATGTAGAACTTAGCAAGCTCTTTGTTTGTTTGGGGGCTCTTGCTCTTGTAGTTAAGAAGCTCATTACCAGTGTATAGCCCGGGCTCGGTGTTATTGTAGGTACATAGCAAGTACACTGGTCATACCAGGCCATCATATTATCTAGCCAATCACTTCTCAAGGTTTTTTAAGGATACAATTCATTAATACTGGAGATTTTTTCTTGTTACCGCTTCCTGGCATCAACATTTTTCAGGGAGGAAAGGTATCCTGGCAAAAAGCTCTGTTTCTTGCAGTCATTGCATGCAACACATGTACACCAACATGGCTGACAGGAAACACTACATGCATTGACCATGCCTACTGCAGGGGGTTTATAGATATGAACAAAAATGTGTGGAAAATAAGAGGCTAGGCAGTTATAGCCACTTAATCTTCCTTTTACTTTTACTATGTGAATCAACTAATGTTATCAAGATCTTTATCATGTTTAATCACTGTTTTGAATATTTGCTGCCATTTTTGGGTAGACCACCCTCCTTTTATATGTTTAAAGTAAGATGCAAACAATTTTTGACATTCCCAGTAGAGGCATTATGAGACAGTTGAGATATTTCAATATTGAATAATCAAAATTTTTTTTGAGAATAAACAATAGGCTTCAAATACTATAACAGACATTCACAAACATTTATCTCAATGATATTTATCAGGTATTTACTTAGATCCAATACTAGACACTCTTAAGTGCCACCAGCAGTCACATCCTTCACAGCCAACCCAGGTATGAGAGACATATACATCTTTGTAAGAGCCAGAACAAACAGGACATGATGACAAAGTGTCCATGATCTTACGTTTCTTTATTCTTGCAGTACCTTGAACAGGACGTCACCTCTTTCTTGTTATTGCTGCACTCCCACATCAACAATATCACTTCTTTCTCTCTTTGTCCTTCCTTTTCTAATCTCTTTTTTCGATTTTTTTGAGTCTTTCTTCCTCCTTCTTTTTCTTTTTTTCCTCTTGAACTTGCCTCTTCTCTACTTTTGTCTGTCTCTTGTCTTCTTTCTGCCTTTCGTCCTCTTTTTTTCTTTTCCTCATAAACTTGCCTCATCTCCTCTACTTTTCTCTGTCTCTTGTCTTATTTACCCTTCCTCTCAAGTTTTTTTCTTTTTCTTCCTTCCTTCGCCTTGCTTGCTTCCTCTCCTCTTCTTTCTTTCTCTTCTCTTCCTGTTTTTAAATCTTTTCTTCTCCTTTCCTTTGCTTCATTTCTTTTTGCCTCTTTTTTCTTCTTCCTTCTTTCGTTCCTCTTCTTTTTTCTCTTTTCTACTTCTTTTTTCTCTTGAATAAATGAGTCATTAGTGATGCATATGGCACTATCAGTATGAAATGATTGCACACTAGTACTCTGAACTGACTGGCCTCTTGGCATGAAAGAATATCAGATATATCACAAGAAGTTTCTGCTTTAGGTGTCTCACATCTATCTGATGAAGGAGATAATGCTCTTGCAGGAGCCAAAAGCTTGTCAGATATAATTCCAGAATATAAAGGGAAATACCACACACCTTTCATTATGTTGACAGGAGTCAACGTTTGTGGCCAGGCAAGAGATAAATGCTGAGCTAAATCTTCTCAGCAAATACATGTACTTCTCTCAGGATGAGCAGAAAGAAAGTTATGGCATTTTTTGTTGAAATTAGCCTTTAGACTCTTAAATTCTTCCACATCTAGTGGTTCCAATTTGTGAGTACAGTGAGACAGAAGACAAAGTAAATAGATGTTGTTTTCTCTTGCCAGTTTTATTACGTCTAGTGAGACATGCGACGAGTGGCCATCCTCTATTTCAAGAACTGATCTGGCTGGTAGAATATTTGTAATAAAAAAAATCAAAGATAAAGACTGATTAATCCAACCAAATTGTGAACATGCAAACATTGTCCCAAGAAAGGCTCTATTTTTCAAATTCTCTTTCATTCTTTTCCGGGGAAAAATAATCATAGGTAGAGGACATTGGCTTAATGCATTAACGCATGTTAACACAATAAGTGTCCTCCCTCGTTCAGCTAAGGTGACAGCCCAAACTTTTCTATGGCCAATGTTAGCCACTATCTTGCCAGGTTTATTGACGACATTTATTCTTGTTTTGCCTAATTTGTAGATTTGCATGGGTTTTGCTAACATACTTAAGTCATGCAACTATGCCACCCAAGTTGTCAAAAAATCACTAACAGTATTATCAGTTGCACTTCGTGCTCGTGCATGGGATAATTAATGGTTGAAGAGATTGAAGCGTTAACTTGTGCCACTTGAGGAAGCCTTGTAACCAAGCCCTACCAGTTGTTTCATCTTGAAATGGGTGTGGTCTCATTGATCTCTCGAGTATTTGAAAAGCAATCCTTGCAATATCATCTCTGCTCAATCCATATTTTATGTCGGCCATTTTCACAACATATTCACACACTAATTGCTCCTCTGTTTTAGTCATATTGTTAGGACCAGGCCGACACTCAATGGTTACTGCTCTAATAACTCGTCTTTGCAATGTCTCTACAGGACTTTGTATGACTTGGCTGCCTCCCTAAGACTCATTCCCTTTTAACAGCTTTAGCAGCTTCTCTCTGTGACCAACGACAGCGATTCTTTAGCCCTTGAGTTGCCATTTGCAATTAATTAATAATTACTGATAATTAGTCTAATCAAAAATAATATTGTGTAAAGTTTGGGTTCATAATAAAAACAATGAAAATGCCATTATACTCTTAAATTCAGTTGATATTCACTTTATGGCATTATTTTGGAAAGCTATCAAGTGATAAAAGTGGACATTTTGTTTGTATCCCATATTACCATCCGTCTCACAATTCTAGCATCTACTTTATAGTCCGGCACACTTGTGGTCAATGGTCTATGAGTATTTTTTTTGAATACACTTGTGGTCAGTGGTCTTTGAATATCATTGTTGTGACCATGTGCCATTATGGTGGTTTCTCCACATGGCACTCACTGGGGTAAACAAAATGGCTGCCCTTTCAGTGACAACTACTTTGCTTTGGAATACTTCTCCCACAATCACTGGCTCTCAAAATGTCTTACAGTGGTAAGGTTTTTTGTGGATTCCTTTGGATGTCAAAGTCAACACTACACAGCAAAAAATTGTCTTAAACTACCCTTGGAGGATTACCTCAGTTCCGAAAGTCTATTGTGTAGTGAAACCATAGGTGTATCTAGCTTTCTCCAGCTATTAGGGCACTTAGTTAATTATTTATATATTTATTTAACTATTTATACCTTTAATTGGCAAATGCATTTTAATTAATACCTTTAACTGCTCTAGTGTTTAAATAACACTTTTAACATCTAAGTGTGTGCTAAATTATTGTGGTTAACTGTAGCAGTTATTCTGGTTAACAATCCTCCCACTGTTATATATTTGTGGTCGGAAATTTCTACCCGGGCAAAGCCCGTGCTTTCCCAGTTCCAAGTATGCCTATGGGTGAAACTTAGGTAACAACCCTTGGGTTGTTTTAACTACTTATTTTTTAAAGTGTACAAGCCAAATAAAGCAGAAAATAGTCAAGACGTGTTCGTCTTCTCAACTATTTATGTTTGACTGACAATACTTTATATTCATGGTGGTTTCGTCAACAAAAGATAATGGTGCAAGAGGTGATTGGAGGACTGTTTTGACAAAGTTATAGTAAAATCTTAGTGATATTAGTTACTGCTTTGATATTGTTCAAGACATATTATCAGAATCTATTTTAACATCAAGTACCGTTGGCCTTCGCCAATCGTAGCATGTGTTGAAGTATCAGTTATATGCTTCACACTTTTAGGTAGAGAATTATGGCAACACTTTACTGTAATAGAAAGGGGTACCCTGATTTTATCTTTTACACAGGAGGGAGCAGCATTCATCAACTCTCTGGGTTTGTCTTTTATTATCCCCCTAAAAATTAGGTTTTTTATATGTTTGGCAAAGGCTTTTAGTGTTGTCACCAAAAAAATGAGAAGCAAATAGAAGTTCTTGACTCTCAGTTTTATTCCCAAAACATAAAGAAGCAAAACTCAAATTTTGAACATTGTTACAATACAAGAATAAATATTTTACCTTAGAATTGATTTAATATTCTGTTTTCCTATAGAATTTGTATGATTGTATTAAGACTGATCCTTTTGAGATTCATGATGGAGCTGATGACCTCACACAGGTTTTTTTTAATCCTGATTATGAAGGTTACTTAATCAAGGAAGGTATGTCCATTACTACACCTTCCAGGTCTATAGCTGCAATAGGAGACTTTGCTCCAACTTCATTTGCTGCCATAGACCTAGAAAGCATACTACATGTAAGATGTAAATTTTATTAAAGGGTAACTTCAGTGCATTTTTGAGATATTTTTTTTATTTGCTTAATATGATTGCCTGACCATACTAATGATGTGTTCCAACTCCCATTGTCTGAAAAAAATTATTCACTGAGATATGAGCCTTCAAAAATGCCCATTTTTCCTTTCTGCCAGGTTACTTCCTGTCAGTGGGTGTGGCTAAACGTGACGTCACTGGAGGGATAGCTGTAGCTAAATCCATTCCTTTATAGGGGGAAATAATCCTTA